CTGACGCAGGGTTCAATCCCAGGACCCTGGGATCATGACCTGAGCCGCAGGCAGACGCTTAGCCGACTGAGCCACCCAGGCGCCCCTGAATCATTTCTTTTCTTAATGGAAGAGATAAGCCAGGCAGAGTAAGTTTCTCCTCACCCCAGGGAATGATTAGCATCTTTAGAGACCTCTTGTCTGGAAGACATCCAACATGTTAGACTTTGTCCCACCCAGCAGTGATCTCTTCTGGGAGTTTCCTCCCACCCAGATGCTCACTGCCTGTCTCCAGCCGCACATTGTAAGGGCTACTTGGTGCCTGCTGTGTGTCAAACATTGTACAGGATACCTTATAAACATAATCTTCATAATAACCCTATGAGCTGGATATAATTATACCTGTTTGCTAGATTGGAAAACAGGATTCTAAGTTATTTGTAGAAGGTCACATAGCCGGGAAAGGGCAGGTTGTCTTCCTACCCTGGCTGGCCTGACTCCTTTGCTCACGTTAAATTCTGATCTTCGTCTCCAAGCTCATTTCTTACTACATCATGTCTTGCCCTCTGATTCTAAGAAAGACTCTAATAACCTATAGTTGCTAGATCGATGGAGCAACATCCTATGTTTCTAGCAATATATTCTCCTTGTGGCTAGTGATACATTTTTGAGAAATAGCTTATCTATCTTAGTGACTAATATAGGAAACAGAGTGAATTTAATTAGGTTTGGTGAAGCCAGGCACTTGAAGCCTTGCCTTGAGGGACAACAAAATTTAAATGAGTGAACTAACAAGAAATCAGACTTAGTATTGAGCCATTCAGTAACTTACTTACATATCTTAAATTAGTTACTTGAAAGATGAGTTAATTTCACCCCTCTTTAGAATTCTAAATAGCTTGAAAGATTTACACAGCTTCTAAGCTGTATTCATTAAAACCAGAGAAGAGTTGGTGTTTTGGGAGAATTTAACACCTGCCTAACTGTGTTTCAAGTTTGTAAAATTATTGGATTGAAACAGGATATTTTGAATACCATACATAGAGCAAAAATGATTTTAAGCCTTTTCATATTTAGAATGCTGGAACTGTTTTCTCTGTCCAATTTGATTGCAAATTCATGGAGTTGTGCCCCTGATATAGTACACGACACTGAGTTAGGTCTTAGTAAACAGTTGTTCTTTGAATAAAGAATAAATTAATGTTATATTTAAAGTTTTTATGTTCACTTTTCTTTATAAGGCAATCCCTTTTCCTCTGACCATGCCCCTCCCTCCATCCTGCCTTGGTTGGAAATGCTTGTCCATGGACCTAAAAAGCATGTCTAGGAGATGGCTCACTGCTGGATGTTAAAAACTTGTGCACACATTAATTTAAGATACCTCTCTCTGGGAGCACCCATCTCATGCCTACCATGCAGAATTGCATTCAAGTTTATTCCTAGGTCCCAGTCTAACATCTTCTGAATTGCTTATTGGATACAAGGGTGTCCAGGGCCACCTCTTTGAATTCTAGTCTTCTCAACCTTTTTATATATTCTTAATATATAAGAATAGTAAATGCTGCCAAGTCAAGAGAAACTTAAAGGTTAAAACTGCCACATCTCTGCACTAGAGCAAGGCAGTTCTCTGGAGGCTAATGTTTATTAATGACTACTTTGAACCTGAATTCTACCAGGAATATCTGGGTATTGCAAGACTTCTTCTATAAGTACATTTATTTTCTGTTTGCGCCATCCATCTTAGGCGATGTACCTTGGCTATTTGGTTGCATCTGCTTGAGACTTAGAGGCTGTTTTACATGTTTCCGTCTATGCCTTTATTGCTGTAGAGGTCATGATTATTCTGGGGGAGCTAGTGAAATCAGTCTGAGCATTTCATTTCTCCTTGAGTTTGAAATTTGGAGGGAGAGGGGGCAAGAATGTGTGGTTTATGTAACTACAAAGTGTCATCTAGCTCTTTGGGTATTACATAACAAGAGATAATTTAAACTTAGTTTACAGGTGTTGTAATGCTTCTTGAGTTATGGCTGTTAAGAAGTACACACATGGAAGTATGAAGTTTAAATAGGTAGCCTAAAAAGACTTAAACCTTACGGGAATTAATCAAAGCAGTATTTTCCAAACTCACCCTTTCAAGTTCTCTTTTTTGGTTTTGCTCATGTGCACTTATTATCTGCAGGTGATTTTTAAAAAATTTTCTTTGAATTGATTCAGTAAACCTGATACCTAATTTATCTTCCACTTAAGCAATAATATCAACAAAATCACAATTTGTGGGGCCAATTATTTGTATTTATAAGGAATGTTAAAATAGCACATAGCTTTGAACAACAACAACAAAAAGTTCTGAATCAACTAAAACCACTCTGATAATCCTGATTTATGTATCACAGCCTGAGATCTGCTCTGCTGGATTAGGGACTCACTTTGGGGCCTACATTGAGCATATTCTTCTTTTTTTTTTTTTAGATTTTGTTTATTTATTTGTCAGAGAGAGCATAAGCAGGGGGAACGGCAGGCAGAGAGAGAAGCAGGCTCCCCACGGAGCAGGGAGCCCAATGTGGGATTGGATCCCAGGACCCTGGGATCACAGCCCAAGCTGAAGGCAGATGGTTAACCAACTGGGCCACCCAGTCGTCCCTACATTGAGCATATTCTTAATAGGAAAAGAATGGAGCCTTGTACCATACATCATCATTTTCGTACAACCTTGGCTTTAGGATATAAAGTAAAGGATGTCAAAGAATCCCCATACCTCTGTTTTACTTTCTAGGAACTGCCACCCAGAACTTTTTAACAGTGAGCACTATCAGAAATACAAAACATAGTAGGTACACAGAGCAGGAGGAAAGCGTTAAATAGCAAGGCTCATTCTCGTCAGGCGGAGGAATGCAGGCGGGCTGTTTTCTAAATCAGGGAATGGTTTCTTGCTGTAGCTGCACGGGGAGTTGGGAGAGTGGTGACATGTCTGAGCCTCTGCCTCTGAAACTGCTTCTTTGTGTGGCATCTTGGTCCTGCTGACATCCAGATCGCAGTTTTGTTGTGAGGCTTTTGACAGCTGTCCAGGGAGAATGACCAGAGAGAAGAGCAGGTAACTCGGGCCACTTGTGCGAAATGCTTAGGTGTGACACCTGTGCCATCAAAGAGACAGGGAACAATGAAACCAAGTGCCAACTCATGGAGAGAGAAAGGAAATCAGTCGATAGCTTTCCTTCTGCAAGCAGGGGAATGCATTACTTATCAAATAGTGATGACCTGCTGTGTTTCTATTTATGAAACAGATCGGAATGAGGAGTGGTGGGGGCTGTGAGGTGGTGAAGCTCCACCAGGTAACTCCCGATTCTCTGCCCTCTCTCAGGTCCTCAAGCAAAATGGGAAATGGTTCGGTGAAACCCAAGCATTCCAAGCACTCGGATGGCCACTCCGGGAACCCCAGTACGCATGCGCTGCAGAGCAAGGTGACAGAGCTGGAGCGAGAGCTGAGGCGGAAGGAGGCCGAGATCCAGGAGCGGGAATACCATCTGAAGGAGCTGCGGGAACAGCTGTCCAAGCAGACCGTGGCCATTGCTGAGCTCACGGAGGAGCTCCAGAACAAGTGCATCCAGCTGAACAAGCTCCAGGATGTGGTGCACATGCAGGGAGGAAGCCCGCTGCTGGCCTCTCCAGAGAAAGTGCCTCTTGAGGTCCACCGCAAGGCCTCGGGATTGGTCTCCCTCCACAGCAGGAGGGGAGCGAAAGCTGGGGTGTCTGCGGAGCCAACGACCCGAACCTATGACCTCAATAAACCCCCGGAGTTTTCGTTCGAGAAAGCACGAGTCAGAAAGGACTCCAGGTAGGTTCCCAACACTCTCTGACTCCAAGAGCTTTAATATTGTGCCAGACTAGGGTGATATTTTTTTTAGGCCGCTCCCGGGGAAAAGAGATAATAACCCTTTCAGATCTGGAGACACAGGGACTTCTATAATGGGTTTGTTTCGGAAAAGGGGCTCCCTCGCAGCGGAACTTTTCTTTAGATCCGGAGTTGCGCTCTACCCGGACTTTGGATTGTGAATCGTGTAACGGTGGAGCTGAGTTAATGAAAGTCATTGTCCGTTATCTTGAAAACCCTAGGGGAGTGCAGAGGGAGTCTTAGGAAGTCTGCCCTTCTCTCGGTCTATAGGAGTGGATTGAAATGTGTACACAAAGCACAGTGAATGATGAATATGTGTAGCAAAAACTGTTTGCTAGCACTTAGAAAGGAAGAAGTTGGATCCTCAAAGGGGACGAATTCATTCATTCATCCCACAGTTTAGGTTGAGCGCCACCGCCGACCAGCCACCGTGCTCGGTGCTAAGTGGATAGTAGTGAGTAAATAAGCACAGAGCCTTTCTCGGGGGCAGGCAGACAGTCTACACAAAAACAAGTAGACGTTGTGTAATTATTAATTGGGATAAATGATATGATGGAAACCAACGGTATAGTGGTGGTGTCCGCGATTAGGGGGAGTGAGAGGCAGGAGACAACAGAATTGGGATTGTCCTGGAGGCCTGGCTGAGGAGGTGACATTTACCTGAGGCCAGAAGGAGGAAAAGACGCATAGATGAGGTGGAAAGGGCGTTTCAGGCAGAGGGAACAATGAAAAGTTAGAATTAATTTTGGAATTTTAATTAATTAAATTAATTAATTATTCAAAATTAATTTTGATTTTTACAAGAAATTATGTGTTTGTGAGAGCATTCTTGTACGTGCATGCATGTCCATGTGTATGTGTGTGTACATTTCTTTTCTAACTGAAGGTTGAATTTCCTAACCAGGAAAGATTGACTAGAAACATCCCAAGTTAGGGTCTCTTTTCTACATTATTTTTAAATGAATGAATATTTATTAGTTGAAATTAGATCTTTTGCCTTGATAATGTCTTGGCTGAGCCTGGATCTCTCATGCAAAATGCAAGATTTGTGAATTTAAAACAAATTTTAACTTACTCATGAACACAAGTCATATAAATCAACATAAAACATCTGACTTAAACAAATAAATGATTAATTTTGACAACAGAATTACAAAGGGAGGTTTAATTCATCAATTTGTTGACAGTCACTTAGTGTGTGATCAATACATATTTGCCAAGGAAACAAGTCATGCTGGGTTATTAATCATAATACTCTGGGTGAAAGAAATCTGATTAATATTAGAGTTCAGAAGTTTGTTGTAAAAAACAAAAAGAAGAGTTTGTTATAAGCCGAGAGTTTTATTAGTTGGTTTAGAAAGGTCTTATCTATTCTCTTTGCAAAAGTAATATTTATTTTTAATGGTGTGGATTTGTTCTTGTTTTACAAAAGTTGGAAATCATCTAGTCTTCTCTTTTGATATAACAGAGATATATGCATATATAGTAATACTACATATTACATAGTATATTATTTTATGTATGTAAGCACAGTGTATTATTTACCCACAAAAAATCTTTCAAATAGGAATGTTCTTGTATATCTGAGAGAAGCATCAGAGAATTTAATAGCAATTCATCTTCTTTGACCCTCCCTACATATTCTACCAGATTTCTCTTGAACAAAAGTTATGTTCAATTATTTTGTTCCAGAGACTTGCCCATCTTGAGGCAGAACACCATTCTCCTGGTGTTAGGGAACTGAACCATCCAAGATAAACATATTCCTTTGTATAAAAATTGTTTTCTTTGTATTTCTTCACTAGCTGTATTATAATCAGGAAGAGAAAATCAGTAGTTAGGTACAGTCAATTTCTGGGCCAAACCACCTGTCTATAGTGAGTGGGACACAGGAGGGAAGACATTAGAGCTCTTCAATAAGGATTAGCAATGACTCCCCTCATCATAAAGGCAAGTCAAATGGGTACAAGTCTACATTGAGGTCGTGATGAAGAAATAGGCTAATGGGTTGTTGTTGTTGTTTTTTTAATGAATAAGTCCTGAAGAGACCAAACTAGATTATTCCTGCCCTAGTATTCCCCCATATATTTTCATAAAGCCTTTTGGTTCTAAATTGAAAAAAAATTAATTAGAATTTGGGGACTACTCATTTTTCATTGATTAGTTTGTACCTCAGGTTCCCTTGCGGAAGTTTTTGCCTCAACTTTTCTTGCAATCTCCCTTGCAGATGTCTTTCTTCTTAAGTTTGGAATAACTGGCTAAACATAGATAGCTAACATCATCAAGTCAGAGATTTTAAATTTTCCAGTTTTTTTTTTAAAGTAGTCAGCATTACAAATCATTTTCCAGTTTCAAATAGTTCTAGTTTTAGAGAAAAGCCCCAAGTAAGCTTTGGATATTATTATATATCTTTTATATAGTCTATCAAAAATTTTGCAAGAAACAATCTTCTAGAAGTTAGAGTGTTAGAAAAGATGGGAGCATCATTAACTGCTGATAAAGAGGATGACGTATAGCACTCATTGGTTTAGCTACTTTTCCAAGCAGTTACTGTGAGATATTAGAGAATTTAAGGTATCCGTCAAAATGATTCCTTCATTTATTATTAGGTTCTCATGACTTATTTGTTGAACTTCATTTATAAAGTTTCCTGGCTGAATTTATGACTAAATTTGTTCCTACTGATACGTGGCAACAGCATTTTGGAGTCCCTCCCTCTGCACTGAGTCAGAAAGCCATTGAATGGCTTTTCAGTCTTTTTGTCAAAAAGGATGTCTTAGATGAATACAGCACTTAACAGTGAGCAAGAAATTGAGGGGAGATTCCCAGCCCTCTTGCAATCAACAACATTAGGGATATATGATGTACTGACAGAAACCATAAAATAACATTGGGAGATTGATAGATTTCGAATTTGAAGATTCAGATCCAGTAATTCATGAGAAACTGTAAAACCCTTCCACAGTACTCTGTGAGCTTGCTGGGGCCCCGTGCTCAAAGGTGTTGTAAATGGCAAGTAAACTTCATCAACTGCCAGGCAGCTCACTCGTGCCAACTTTGTTGTCCTGTATCCATCAAGTATTCTCATAGGGCTTGAAGGGGTAGCTTAAGCTGTATAGATGTACCTCCCTGGTTTATGTGGAAGAACATATATACTCTAATGGCATTGGGAAACTCATAATCCAGTGCTGTTCAATAGAACTTTCCACAGTGATGGACGTGTTCTATAATCTGTGTTGTTTAGTGTGGTGACCAATAGCAAAATGGGTCTGTGAGCACAGGAAATATGGCTATTGCCACTGAGGAATGGAATTTTTATTTTAATTAACTTTAAAATTAAATAGCCACATGTGTCTCGTGGCCACTGTATTGGATATTGCAGTTCTAGATTATGTGTTATGCTTTAACTGAAGTAGAGTTGACACACGATGTTACATTAGTTTTAGGTGTACAACATAGTGATTTGACAACTCTGTAAGTAATGCCATGCTCCTCAGAAGTGTAGCTTCCGTCTGTTGGCTCTATAGGATTATTACAATACCATTGACTATATCCCTATGCTGTACCTTTCATCCCTGTGACTTACTGTTTCCAGAACTGGAAGCCTGTACCTCCCACTCCCCTTCATCCGTCCCCCACCCTCCTCCTTTTTGGCAACTACCAGTTTGTTCTTTGTGTTTATGGGTCTGTTTCTTTGTTTGTTCTGCTTTGTTTTTTAGATTCTACGTATAAGTGAAATTATGTGGTATTTGTCTTTCTCCCTTGACTTATTTCACTTGGCACAATACCCTCTAGTTCCATCCATGTTGTCACAAGTGACAAAATCTCATTCTTTTTTACGGCTGAGTAATGTTCCACTGCATTCATATATACCACATCTTCTTTATGCATTCATCCATTGATGGACACTTAGGTTGCATCCATATATTGGCTATTGTAAATAATGCTGCAGTAAACATAGAGCTGTTCATATCTTTTCAAATTAGTGTTTTCATTTTCTTTGGGTAAATACCCAGTAGTGCAATTACTGGATTGTATTTAATGATTTGAGGAACCTCCATACTGTTTTCCATACTGGTTGCACCAGTTTACATTCCCACCAATAGTGTACAGGGTTCCCTTTTCTCCGCATTGTCGCCAACACATGTCATATCCTGTCTTTTTGATACTAGCCATCTGACAGCTGCAAGGTGATATATCATTGTGGCTTTGATTTGTATTTCCCTAATGATTAGCGATTTTGAACATCTTTTCTTGTGTCTGTTGGCCATTTGCAAGTCTTCTTTGGAAATAGATTATGTTGTTTTTGACTGGAACTGCTATTTCCTGAGATGGGAATTATGACCTAGAGAAGTTTGGGAAAACTATGCAGACAACATAGGACCTGTGTTTGGTTCTAGGACAAAGCCACAGCAAATGAGAATATACATGAGGTGGGCACAGTGTGGGATTACTCTTAAACGGCACTGAACCTGCAGTATGTCATAGCCTTTTGTAGTGACTTGGCTTTGTATCACTGACCATTTTGGATCTTCAGAGGCACAGAGCTATGTGGGCACATAGCCCGTTTCTATTACAGGTACTTAGCCTTACTGAAGTGTCATAAATCATGATGAGTCAGAGCACTACAGTGTATCAAGTGCTCTGATTTCTGATTTAAATTTATTATGGCAAACAGCCGAGGATTTAGAGCTAGAAGAACCTTTACTGGAGAAGGGGGAAAACAGGTGCAGGGGAGTTGCAGAATATGTCATGGTAAGTGGCAGAGCTAAGATTAGGATCCAAGATTCTTGACCTTGAAACCAGTTCTTTTTCTCTACAATCCTAATGTTCTTAGAATTCCCCACAAAATCAAAGTCCTCAAGTCAGACAGTGTGGGCACCAGTCTGCTTTATTTTGACATGCCTTATTGATTAGTAGGAAGAACAATGGTGCTTCCTGGC